GAGAGAGAGAGAGAGAGGCAGACAGACAGACAGACAGACAGACAGACAGACAGACAGACACAGAGAGACAGAAACAGACAGACAGACAGAAACAAACAGACAGACAGACAGACAGACAGACAGACAGACAGACAGACAGAGTAAATGTGCAAAAAACCTACACACAGGTGACTTTAACAAACTTTTCCATTGCATACTAAGTCACAAACAAATGCCCAATAGTAAAATTACGAATCATAACAATATCAGCTTTCTTATCATCACACACACAAACACACACACACACACAAAACATGCGGACATAAAAAAGTGTACACATAAATACCAACAGATACAAAGACGTAAAGATCCACTCATCTAAAAGTAAACACACACTCCCTCATACTCACAAAAACCTTCTCATCAAAATACACACACTGACACATTTAAACCTCATGTATCCAGAACACACACACACACATACACACACACACAAGCACATACGCATACACACACACACACGCACGTACACACAAATGCGCACACACACACACAGAGGTGCGCGCACACACACGCACATGCACTCATACATGCACAATCACATAAAGCGTCCACCACAACCTCAGTACAAGACTGACTCTCGACCAAACATCTTGATACAGCGGTCCACGATTCGCAGAACGGACGAAGCAGCCTCGTTCATCAGGGCTGACAGTTCGTCTTCTGACAATCCATTTATACTAAATTCTGACTCATCGGTGAACATGGAATGGGTGCGACGTATCACCTGGGGATCATACAAACACAAAGATCTTATAAGGTTCAAGCTAGCAAAATACAAAATGTTGCAAGGTACACTCTCACTTTTCCATACAGCAGTTTGCCAGGATTTATTTATTTCCTTGTCAGGGGGAATAATAGACCCCAAGATCTAAAACTCTTAGTCCATTTCCCCCTTTCTCACCCTCTCTCAGTCTCTTTCTTTCTTTCTTTCTCTCACTCTCTCTCCCTCCCCTGTTTATACATTTCTATCTATCTATCTGTTTATCTATCTTTTTTCCGACTTTCAGAACAAAACCTTAGATTGCATTCTCCAGATAAATAGATAGATTCCCATCTATCTATCAATCTATCTATCTATCTGGAGAATACCATCACAGGTTTTGTTTTGAAAGTCGTAAAAAAGGCCATTTTTTAAAATAATGAGCTTTACAAAACATATGGCATTGCCCCTTTAAACAAGATATGGCCATACAAGAGGCAGGACCTCTGAATGTAACACCCAAATAAAACAAACTAGCATAACCATAGAATAAATACTACAGCAAATGGCTTTGACTTGTATTTCCATATTGAAAGCCTACAGCCATTCTAGAATCTTCATACTTCCAGCATTTCAAATATCTAGTTCACTTCACAACAATTAGATTTCAATCAAAAGTTGTAATGCAATAAATCAGAAACACAGGAACTAATGCTAGGAGCAGCAGGTTGGCGGATCGGAAGATTAAGTGTTAATGGACGGTCTGTAATGACGACAATATATCCTACATAACCTTGGCATGTAATCATAAAGTTTTAAGGACATGGGACTTAGAAAAGGGAGAGAAAAAAAGACAAATTTGAAGAAAAAAAAAAAGAAGACAGTACCTGGAGCGTTTATGACAATGATTTTATCAGATTCAGTTCAATAACTGCAACAATGTCAAAACTATGACATGAGGACAAATGGTTCATCCCGCATCTCAAAAACATTTTTCCCTGGCTAATGACCTCCCAACCAACATGCTGAATGCTGCAGGATCTTTTTGGTATGTTAGAACTTTGACCTTTGAACAGCTTACCTCTTGTCCCAATGCGCAGACTTCCGGGCCTGCAGATATGCCATTTTTGCGTACACACTTGAAGCACAGCAGAGCCTTGAAAGCCACGTTAGGAAACTGACACTGATGCAAATAGCCTGCACGGACACACACACAAACACAAAGGGCAAAAATTATTTGTTTGTTTATTCATATGTTAGCTTGTTCGTTTGTTCAGCTAGATTACACATAACAAATATGGTCATAGTGGAGGTGGAAGAACACATTAAAATTGCAGTCATCACAGATCCTATCAAGTAGACACGACACCTGCCACAGTATGTCAGGTATACTGATTCTGTCACAAGATAAATGAGAAACTCTAATAAACCATTCTGTAAAGCAGTGTCGAAGTTGTTTTTTTTCTTGCAATAGCAATACCACGATACACACATCATGTCAACAAACAGCAGAAAGAAAAATTAACGATCAGCTTTTCGAACAGTGCGTAGTGAGCTGACACTTTAACAGCACAAAAATTTAGTTTTTCTTGTATTCAAAGGGAATGAGTTCTAAGATGTATTACTGTGTCTGCTGCTTACTCCAACAATGATGAGAGAGAGAGAGAGAGAGAGAGAGAGAGAGAGAGAGAGAGAGAGAGAGAG